AAACCCTAGACCCCGAACCCCTAAACCCCAAACCCCTAAACCCTAAACCCCTAACCCCCAAAACCCTAAACCCCAAAACACAAAACCCAAACCCCCAAAACCCAAACCCCCAAAACCCTAAACCCTAAACCCCAAAGCCCTAAACCCCAAAACACAAAACCCCAAACCCCAAAACCCTAACCCCCAAAACCCTAAACCCTAAACCCCAAAGCTCTAAACCCCAAAACACAAAACCCTAAACCCCGTAAACCCTAAACCCCAAAACTTAAGCCCCAAAACCCAAAACCTCAAACCCCTAAACCTAAACGCTAAACCCTAAACCCTACAGCTGGGCAGTTTGGGGTATATAGGGCTTCTATAAGGCTTCCATAAGGTATACAGACCTTCTGTAAGGCTCCTAGAATGGTAACTACCCAGGGCTTCTATAAGGCTCCTATATCGGTAACTACCCACCTGAAAATGTCCTGGACTTCCCTAAACCCCGAAACCCTAAACCCTTGCAGGAGCCCTTAACCCCAAACCCTCTGGACCCTAAACCCCTGTAGGAGCCCTTAGAGCCCTTAAAATCTACAACGAGCCCTTAGACCTACCCAAAAAAAACCCTAAACCCTGAACCCTACCCCAAAAAATCCCTAAATCCTGAACCCTAAACCCTAAACCCTAGAAGCCCTAAACCCTAATCCCTAAATCCTGAACCCTGAACCCTGAACCCAAGCCCTAAAAGCCCCTATAAATTTTGGTAAACTCCGCAAACCAGGAGCTGCTCCTCGCGCACCTCCATCTTGCGGCTGACCTCGTCGTGGGTAGCTGCGCAAAGGGTCCAAGTTATAGGTTTAGGGTTTAGGGTTTAGGGTTTAGGGTTTGAGGTTTAGGGTTTAGGGTATAGTATAGTATATACTTTGAGGGTCCAAATACCTACAAAGTAGCTACCAAAATTGGTACTTGGACCCTTTGGGCTAGAGAGCCCAATACCCCTTAATTAAGGAATATATGCCTTAAACTATAGGGGCCTTAATAGTAGAATGGCGTAGGTTTAGGGTTTAGGGTTTAGGGCTTAGGGTCAAGGTTTGGGGTTTAGGGCTTAGGGCTTAGGGTGTAAAGTTTAGGATTTCGGGTTTAGGGTTTAGGGCTTAAGGATACTTAGAACGCGGTTTTGGGGTTTCATTGTTTAGGGTTTAGGGTTTAGGGGCTTACCTGAACCCCATAAACACCTAACTTCTCAGGGTTCCTGATTCTGCTTTCCTAGCATAAGTCCGTTTTGGGGCTTAAGTGCTTAGGGTTTAGGGCTCAGCGTTTCAGATTTCGGGCTGATGGTTTTGGGTGTATAAGGTTTAGGGCTTAGGGCTTGTAGGTTAGAGGGCTTAGTGCCCTGGCACAGACTTTGGAAATCTGTGCAAGACCTGACAGACTCCCCGATCTCTCTTGCGGGTTACACTGGGCCTTTGGGGCTTTGTATGCAGAACCCTGCGGACAGCTATGAATTAAGGAATCTGCGATAAACTCACAATATGGACCCCCTTTTGTTTGAAGGTGCAGGTCCCTGGTTAAGGAATGTGCCTTACCTTAAGAACTCAAAACCCACTTTTTTGTAGGTTCTTATTATAGACCCGAATCTGGGATTTATAGGGACCCTACAAAAAGTAGGTCTTGGGTTCTTAAGGTAACTCATAATATGAGCCGCTGATGCCCTCGCCCGTTCGTGCTTGGGATCCTTTAGTTAAGGCGACTCTTAGACTAAAAGCCGGACAACTCGGTCACTATCCTGACAGGCAGGCAGCTTACTTTAAACTACCCCAAACCCTAAACCCTAAACCCTAAACCCTCAACCCTCAACCCTAAACCCTATAAACCCTCTACCCTAAACCCTACCCCTAAACCCTCAACCCTCAACCCTCAAACCCAAACCCTCAACCCTCAACCCTCAACCCTCAACCCTAAACCCTCAACCCTAAACCCTAAACCCTAACCCTAAACCCTCAACCCTAAACCCTAAACCCCACTCTACGTGTCCATAGCATCTCTTGCGATGAGCGCCTTTCTGTAAATCCGAGGATCGAGGGTCGAGCCTGTGCGGACCCTGCAAAACAGAGGCCGTGGTAGTTTGAGGGCTAAAAACATAGATAGGGTTGAGGGTTTAGGGTTTAGGGTTTAGGGTTTAGGCAACCCTAAATCCTAAACCCAAACCCCAGTCCCCGATAGATCCCGTAAGGCACCCCTATAATGCCCTTACCGCAATGAAGGGTCCATGTGCTCAATTCGTAGATACTTTGGGGAGTACTTCCCTTACCCTAAGCCTCAACCCTAAACCCTAAACCCTAAACCCTAAACCCAAAATAACCCACGAGCCTGATATGGTATGGTCTTTGGGCCCGAAAGCCTTAACATATGAGCCCATAGAGCCTCTGGGTCAAGGCCGCAGTATTAAAGGAAATTACAGGTGGGGAGTTTAGGGTATATAGGGCTTCTATAAGGCTTCCAGAAGGTACATAGACCATCTATAAGGCTCCTATAACGGTATCTACCCACCTGAAAATGCCAAACCCCAAAACCCTAAACCTCAAATTGCAAAATCCGAAGCCCAAAACCACAAAACCCTAAACCCTAAACCCTAGACCCTAAACCCTTGTAGGAGCCCCTAACCCATGAAACCAGGCAAGGCCCCTATGAGTTAAGGTATATTCCTCAATTCCCTTACACCCTAATTCCTAGACCTTAAACCCTAAACCCTAAACCCTATACTCCTTTTTTAAGGGGTATTGGGTTCTCTGGGAAGACGCCCCGGGCTTCTGGCATCGACCATGCGCCACAGGGCCAGGAGCTCAGTCTCGGCCCTTGTGGCTGGGGTTTTAGGGCTTTGGAGTTTAGGGTTTAGGGTTTAGGGGTTTAGGGTTTAGGGTTTAGGGGTTTACATGCAGCCTTGCTCCGTTTGGAGTTTAGGGTTTAGGGTTTAGGGTTTAGGAGCTTTGGGTTTACGGCTTCAGGTTTAGGGTTTATGCGGGTTTAGGGCCTTTGAAACAACAGATATCACACATACAGATACATGCGTTTCTTGTTGTTCGACGGGGCTCATTCACAGCTTCAAGGTTCTGATCATGTTTGGTGTTTGGGAAGCTCATTTCCAGCTACCAAGGGAGTAATGCAGGGGGCTTGGGGAAAGGTTTGAGATTTAGGGCGCTCGGGGTTTGAGGGCTTTGCCAGCACCCTAAACCCTAAACC